CCAACTTCGCCCTCTTCTTCAAGAATGGAGGAATTCACTTGAACACTCTGGGGGAAGAACCTCTGTGACTGAAAACCAGATGTGGCAAGGATTCCCTATCTCCACTAGTAAAATCTGGAGGGTGAGGCGCATTGGGGAGTCCTGAGGAACAGTGCAATAGGTGAACCAAGTTTCCTAAACTTTTAAAAACAAACTGACCCCGATTTATTCAATCTAATGATCAGCAGGGAAGGGCAGGTTCTCCTTGTGCTTTACTCATGATAGTCCATGAGTGACAGTCCAGCATAGTACAGTAATACCACCCAGTCAGCCTCAAGGTGGTCTTATGGAATACCTCATTTCTACAAAGCCTGTTGCAACCTAGATAAAGTATACTGAATTAGTGGTTGCTGGTGCAAAATTGGTTTGATAAAAACACACCTGAGTGGACAACACTCACCTCAGAGTGGGATCCTGTGAAAATGAGGAAGGGACCTTGAAAGTTAAATAATAGACAAGAGTAGCAATGAAAATACTCACCCCTCTGTATAACCTTGCAGATGTGGTTAAAATAGCTATAGGGGTTATTCAAAAACCCTCAGACAAAGATAGTGTCAGATCATGCAAATAATGTGAGATATTGGGGGAGGTATATATACCAGCCCACATAATAATCTCCAGTGAGCAATTCAACTGGGTCACTAAGGACACAGAAATGTGACAAATCTGTTGAGATATGACTCGCAAAGTCTCCTCGCCTTTAAACGAAAGCCAAGAATAAGTGATATGGATCAGTTTCATACCCACCTCGTCAATGTAACTGGGGGTAAATCCTGGGAAACTGAATGATCCCAATGAAAAAAGTCATTGTCTGGCATCTCTAAAGGCATTATTAGCACAGGCAACAAAACCATCAAGACCCTCATTGGACATAACAAATGATTGAGATTAGATCAGTCACAGAAGTGGGAAATAGTAATGAAATGAATTGGTGAAAAGGATTTATCCCCTTCCCTGCCTGCCAGTGTTTTAGGGAAGAACCGGTCTGAAGACATAGGTAGAATCAGTGCAAACCACTCCTACTGTAGGTCTGCAGCAATGAAAAATAAATCTTCAGAGAAAGGTGACACATGGCACATGAGATTAAAGTCTCAAACGGGTGTTGAGATAGGGCATGTAATGTCACTTTAATATACCAGTTACATAACTGAAATGATCCAGGAAGCTGGAGAGTACTGGAGACTCAAATAATTTTTATCTCAAGTCTCAAAAGGTAGTCTATAAGGTCATCTTATACAAGGCAATATGGAAGATGCAAAACCCTTGTCAAAGAGCCAGGTAAAAACAAAAAAAGTCATGGTTGGTATTTCTGATTGAAGTTGGTTCAACCTCCTCTCAATACACCATTGCCGATATGTGTGCCATTTCCATTGACAAATGTCCATCATGGGACTAAGCAAAGACTGAGACAGATACATGGCAACCTTAGAAATTAAACCCCAATGCCATGCAAAGAATTGCATAACCTCCATGCCTGAAGTTTGAGCTTCTGGATAGCCAGGTGTATGATGTCAGGTCATGTTTGCCTCCACAGAGATGGCCAAAGAGGAAGTGGAAGAGGTAGGCACTCCTAAAGGTACCACAGGAGGGTTTACCTGCAAATCTTATGCTATCAACAGGACCCAACAAAGGTTGAAACAAATCAAAGTTAGTACCTTGGGTAACATAAAAATCGGTGGGAATGTCTACAGTTGTAATCCTATCCCATCCTGATGGAATTCGTCTATTTCCAAAGCCTGAGGGTGTAGTACAAGAGACCAAATTGCCAGTAGTTCGGGGGTTCAAATGAGTGACCAACCCACCAATCACCAGAGTTTCAAAATGAGAGTTAATCCAACAGAAAAACATTGCAATACAGCATATATTCTGTCAAGAAAATCTGTTTGGGTGGAGACAATTGATCTGCCACTAAAGTCATCACTCGTGGAACATGGCAAGCTAGTAGGTTGATACAATAGGATTGGGTCTAAAAAAACTAAAAAAGAACATCCAAGGATCGAAAACAAAGAGCCATGAACCAAGTGCCCCCCTTGATGAGATGAGAAATGAAAGACACCACCGTTAAATTGTCGGAGTGAAGCCTGATGATTTTCCTCTTAATAAGCCCAGACTATGAGACATCATCTTTTGAACAGCAAGAAGGTAGAAAACATTGTCTATGGAAGTCTCATCATCTGTGCGTAGACCCCGGAATTCCTGACTGTTGAGATATGCATCCCATCCCTAAAGCAAGACATCCATGAAGAGATGGATCTCTGGACGAGGTGGTGGCAGAGAAACCCATATGTTAGTATTGTTCCAATCTAACCACCCCTCGAGATTGAGAGAATGATCCTGAATAAGGAAATTGGGGAATCCAGTGAATTGCTATTCATGATCCATTGTTCACATAGAGACCACTGAAGTATCTCTTGTGCACTTGTCACAAAGGAATGAGGGATTCGATTGATGTCTACATTCCCCCCAAAAAAGAAAGAATCATCTGTGCAGTGGGAGAAGGAGAGATGAAAAAAAAGAGTTGGACTGCCTGTTCCATAACTCAGAGCCAGATGGAAGTCAGCTGAGCTTGACTGAGATACGTGATGAAAAATTACCCAGAATGATGATATATTGTGTTGGAGTGAGAATATATGAGTCAGTTTTGATAATGAAGATTGTTTTGCTTTTTTCTGAGAGTAGAATCTGGGTGTGACATTCTGCCAATTGATCAGATGATGCCAACAGTAACCAGACATCCATGGAATGTTGTGTGCACAGGCTTAGGGAAAGGAGGTGATGTGAAAAACTTGTATGAATTGGCAGAACAGATATGATGCCAATGCTAATATGAAGGTCAGAGCCCTGAACTGCAGCACCTAACCCTTGTGCACAAAACACATATAGTGGTGGTATGCCACCACTATGGAAATATGCAGATAAGAATCAAGTGATATCTAACTTGGACATCCACAATCCTCATAAAAAATGCCAACTTAGAGTGAGAAATGATACACTTATGAACCTTGGAGGATCAAGGAAATTGATATAGATGAGAAAGATCAATGACTGGAACCCTTAGATATGGACAGAATCTATTATGGATACCAATGGACCGAGGGCCTGATGTCGGGGATCTGAACCCTTGAATAGGGGAGGAACTATGACTCCTGTAGGAGCTGACAATTGACCCAATGTGCATGCTAACAATGGTCCCAACTCATCATCAAATGGATGTGGTGATCCTGAGAGTCTTCTAACAAAGTTTAGAGGGTTTAGAGAGTTGTTATCTATACAGGTTAAATACAGACTTTGCTCTAGAACCCCAAATTTCCAGGAGCAGATGTATTCTTTGCGAGTAGGAATATGCTTCCACCTGGCAGTAGTAAGCTAAATCACGTAGTTCCGACAACCGTGGCGGACAAGGCATAGCTGTCCCTTCACGTAACTGAACAGTAAACCTCCCCCGCATGAACCACAATATCAATGGATGTAGGTAGGACTAAGTGCTCATTCCCAGACCTTTCATCTATCAAGGAAGGTGAAGACTCAAAAGCAACTGGAAAAAACCCAAACATAACACTCAATGGACCAACTGTAGAAAAAGAGCCCAAGGCAGCTGATTGCAATGTGGCCTCTTGAGAAGCCAACAGAATAAAGTAAGATGCAAGAAAAGGCGAATATAAACTCTCTCCAGAATGTTCAGAATCACAGAGACTTTATTTGCCTCCATGCCGGAAATAATAATTCAGGAATTCATGCCATATATCGGCTTGCCAAACAAAAAAAAATATTATTTTTATGAAAATCAACTAGGTAACATGAAGAATGATCAAAGTATCTCTAACGATCATAGTACAGAGAAAACCGTTAATGAACACTTTGTCAAGAAAAGGTGATATTACCTGAATGAGGTGCTTATATACAGTATCAGGATGGAGGGCACATTGACGTAGGTGGAGAGCATCACATGACAGATATCACCAAGGGCAATTAAGTGAGAAATAAAAGACTGGAGCAAGCAAGAAAAATTCAGACCAATGCTTAGATGGGCAAAGGAAGGAAAGTTTGACAGTCTCGTAATAGCTATAGTGTGAGAGGATGAAATGTTATTTTGGAATTAGATGTTACTTTATGTGCACCAAATTTTAATAAGCTCTTGCCTTACAAGTTCCCACATTTTTGATGTGTTATAATTTCATAGTTTAAAACTTGTGAAAACTGTTCTTCTGCTATGTTTAAGTGAAGAACTTAAAAGCTACTTATTGCTTTGTCACATGAGAAACAATAAATTACCTTGCATTTATTCAGAACTAACATTTCAATCTACGAATAAATATTTTGGAAAACAAAAACGTTTACAACAGTCACAATTCCAAAGTGCTGTTAAATAACAATTGAATAGTGACAGTGTACAATATTGAATGATAGACAGAGCAATGCATAAGTAGGTTAAAACAAAAAATAAGAATACTGTAACAGAATTTTTTTTTCTACTAGTATTTTATTTATTTAAAAATAAATAAATATGTGCTATTAGTGAACAAGCAAAACTCAAATGAGAATCATTAATTTTTTTCTTATCCTGAGCAATTGGGCAAACATTAATGTCCAGTATTGTTAAAATAGTTTCTTTAATATCCAAATAAAAACTTTCAAAATGTAAAAAATGCAACAACATGATTTACTATTTGTATTTCTATCATGAAAATGTTCGGTATGCATTAATAATCATATGTTATAAAAATCACTGGATACCTATCAATTAATAAAAGAGAAGAGAGAAAGAAAACAAATCTGTTGGTTGAAGCAACTCCTCCAAATATTATAAAATGCTAAAAATATTTTAAGATTGCATATCTTTAAAATAGCTTGTTTTTCACTCTATTAAAACCTACATAAATTTCTGCAGTACTTAATTGAACATGCACTTACCAATCAATTTGATATTTCCAGATTCAATTAAACCAGGTTGATCTTTATTAATGTTGGCAATGGACAAGTTCACTAGCTCATCAATATGGTCAATTCCAACAGCTAAACCACTCTCTCCAACCTAAAGCACAAGTTTTCCGAGGTCTTAGGAGATCTATTGAATGCTTGATAAAAAATAATTTACTATTACAAGTATCAGGGCTAATTGTTTTAACTTCTGAATTTACTCACTCATAATGTAGCTATTTATAATGTAGCAACAAAAATAAAACTTATCAAAAATTAAACATCTACACAACTGTAAATCTACATTATTTTTTAGTTACCAAAAGTGCTTTTCTACAGATGAATTTTGGTGGTAGAAAATGTATTCTACAAGTGATTATTAGCAGACTAAAGGTATTGTGTGATATAAATATAGAAAAGAAAGTACATAGTTCTGTGTATTTATTTACATATCTTTGACAACAGAGATTCAGTGAAAATATTTTTTACCCATGGCATGCGTTTCATAGAAATTAAAGAATACAACTGAAAAAAGTATAGTACAATCTTTCTGTGTCTCTTGATTAAACTATACTTTGTCGTATATTTGGAAATGTGTGAGAATTGTGCATTTTTGTACTATGGTAAGAAAAATTGTATTACAAGTTTTAATTTCATAATTTCTTTATGTTAGAATATCTTGTAGTCCAATGAATACACTAAAGAATAGACTGTGTACAAAGTATATACCATTAAGAGAAGGATGAGTTCCACAAAATGCCAACTTGATTATGAAGTATTCTAATGCACTACAAGAGACTTTTATAGACATTATTCCCAAAGATACATGTAATTTTTCTAGCAGATTTCAACATTTAAGATCGTATAAAGCTGGGCATCTTAAAAAAGTTCCAAATAATGTAAAATTATGGGTTAAAAAATATCTTCTTCATCTATACTAAACAAACAAATTCTGCTGATTGTAAAAACCTCATAATTGTATATGGACATAAAATACATTGAGGCTAGACAAATACAAAGCATATAAGTTACATCAAGATGTACAGCAGCATCTAATTTGTGTATTTTATTATGAAGCAGTCAGTCACATATCTCCTAAACAAAATTTTTGAAAAGAGTAACAAAAGGGCTATTATTGAACTCTTAGAATCAGTGCTTAAAGACTCTGAAAAATCAGTTAAAAACAAGTTCTGATGGGAATGGTTACAGAAAAAGATGACTGTGAACATTATTAAAGATAAAGCAAGCATAGTTATTTCCAAATGTATCTGAAAATGCATTTTAGGGTGTAAAAAAATGCTTAAAATTAGTTCACTCTATAAGACCCTGTTTTTGTTAAAAGAATATTGAAATTGTTGGTGTGAACTCAGAGAAGAGCTACAAAGAGAACTTCAGATTTGGAGGGATTGTCATATGGAGATAAGACTGTAATCTAGTCCAGATTATATTTTAATAAAACCTCTGCTAAAAGTAAAACTAGAAGATAGTGGAAAAACTCGTACATAGCTCTAGTTAAGGATGGTTGGACTATGTTACAGTAGAAACTGCAACACTAAAGGAGTTTAAGATGAAATTGTATGAGTATTTTAAGAGATTGTGATAGACATAGGATAAGTTTATGTAGTTTGTAGTTGATTAGCAAAAGAAAATGGGATAGCCCAAATAGTCCCTTCTTATCCTTGAAAATGAAATTCTAAAAACTTGTTTACTAACTTTCAATTTATGTAAGCTTTTGTGTTTACAAAATACTCAAACTCTACACTGTAAAATGTTTTTTTACCATCAATGCCATACAAGCTGTAAGGTAACCACTTCCTGAACCTACATCCAATGCTTTTGCACCATCATAGAGATGTCTTTTGAGCAAATCTAAGACATAAGCATGCTGGAAAAAAGAAAAAGTCATTATCACTAGAATGTGAAGTTAGAAATTATATATACACATACACAGAAGTCTGTAACCATGTTTTAGATAATTAATCTCTAAATCAATTAAAACATAAAAATTAACATTAGTGATAGCTCTCTTACATTCCATTTTTCTTATAAAATTCTGTTCAAGTACAAATAGAGCCATCAAAATAGCACTTAATACCTAAATTCATTAGCTCCCTTTTATCTTTTTATTCATAGCTCAAATCATTTTAACTCATTCAAAGGCTTAGGCCATGTAGTTGCCACTGGATTTTAAAAGCTTTAATAAGGCAGTGGCAGCTGTATTGCCATCCCCTAAAAAGGACGTATAAATAAAAGAAAGTATAGAGTAATGCTTTTTTTTTTCTGGCAGAACTCATCCAAAACTACTTAGTTCAATTTCTAAAACCTTTTTTCGTTTTTCTGCCCATTAAAGGGTTAAAACTAAATATGGTTGAAGTTTATATACTATATATTAAAAAAAAGAAAAAGAGAGAGTATATATTTCACACATTTCCATTATAAGACTTAGTCTCTTTGCATTATATTCATTACTAGTTGCATCTCCAAATATTAATATGATTGCTCTCTTGTAACCATTTGGAAAACTTTGATACATTTTCTAGTATTAGAAACAAACATTATGCATGTAATTACTCTGTACTTGGTACCATCAAATTGTTCTGAAATACACTAGACCAAATATATTTGTTTGGCTAAGATCAATCCCTAAAAATATTAAAGCAGTTTACACAATAGTCCTGTGATAATGTCAACATGTTTTGGTAATGATAACACAATGAACTTTCCAATGGTTGTTGCATCTTTTTATTAGCCTCCATACTCACCATGTAAGGAGCACTTATTGTAGCAGCATAGCCAATCCCTTGTGGAGAATCTTTGTAGGGATTATGTTTACAGTAGTTTCCTCTGTCTACTGTTTTCATGACCTGTTCAACTTTTTCACTCTGTATTATACAATGACCTGAAAATAAAGAAAGTTATAATTTTCCTATACTAAAATGATCAGTGCTGCCCTCTATATGCAATTTTTTTTTAACATGCCACAAGTCTTTTTTCTCCCCTCCATAGGAATTAACTAATTACAATGCATCTCGCATGCAAATCATTATGAATCAATCCTCCGCCATTTTGAGTGCAACATACTCTCATTACATACGTGACTCCCTCTACTCAGTGCTACCTAACTACCACTTCAAGGTTTTGACAGAAATGAAAGCACCAGTTCTTTATTGGGATGAAGGGTGAGAAGTATGAGAGGAGGAGTACCTGTCGGAAATACATTTTCAGTATAGAAAAATTATAACTTCCAATACGGTACATTACCTCTTCTCATATAAATGAGTTCATGAGACCAGAGGAAATCTAGTACCCCCTGACTCATGAACAGGGCACATGTGAATATGATAAATTGATAGATCGACCTGGGAACCCGACATCTGGTATTGAAAAGATGTCTACATAATGTAAACCATCTACCTCAAAAGTGAAATTGATCGAAACTATCTCAAGCACATTAAAATCCTTGGAATAAGAAACATTGAAGGATAGGGGATGGAATAGAACCATAACAATCCATATAAATGAAGGAGGAATAGACATTTGTAATACATGTGTGGGGATTTATGTTGATTGGTTCTACTCTAAATCCAAAACCCGGCCACTTGGAACCAACATCCACATGGTGGTAGGTTGAGGGATCACAATCAAATGGGTGAACTGCAATTTTGACATCTCACTCCCATTTGTATTTATGTTTCATATTGGAGGATATTACGTCATTTAGACCAGCAGAACACCACCGCCCTACTCTCAACTGCCAAAGGACAATGCGCAAAACTGATAAACCATCCCATGATGAACAAACCAAAGATATGGTCATATGCAAGTAAGTATTCATGACATCCACAAACCTGGAGAAAAACCCACCTAAGGGTGAGAAATGATTTCATGGTAAAACAGGGTACACTGAGAAATTGACTGAGGGGGGGATAAATCTATTACAGAATGCCAGTCTCCAGTTTTCTGGATACAACAAACAAGCTAGAGAAAGATGATGAACACATCTGATGGCCTGTTGAGACAAAAGATCTTGTACTGCCTTTGACAGATGTTGGCAGATGATAGGATTCCAAGGTACAGAGAAGGAAATGGATACCTGAGACAAAAGAGGGGGGAGAAATTGATCTATGGCAAAAAATCCCCAAAGGGGAACAAATTCATCAAGCTCCCACAGGACCGGAACCCACTGAGTAGTTATCAGTACTGTTGGCACCATGCCCATCTATGTCAAATAAAATGAAAAGATGAGAAACCCCTGTAGCTCTGGATACAACTGTGGTAACCAATAGTGTAACGTAAGTGAAATTATAACTGATTGTATTGTAACAACAGAGCAGAGGAGAATAATTCATCTTATCAATTGCATTCTAACATAACTGAACCTGCCCGAGTAGACTTTGATGAAAAGGGATGATTATTTAAAGCTCTGGTTACAACTGTGCAGCAAACATTTGTATATATGTTTGACTTGTTTTAATATATTATTTTAAAACAAGTGGCCTGTGAGCTGTTTGTTTATTGTTGAAATTTATTGCCAACAAGTCACTGACACCTCCTTTAAAAAATCCTGTCCATATATAAAAACCTGAAACTACTGGACCCGATCCAACAGAACAGCCACCTATACAGGTCGGCAGTGAACAATCGTATGCCATGAAGGCATGACCCAAGAGGAAAGAAGAGGTAAGAAAGATGAAGGCTGTGGCCATAACACAAGAACGAGAGGCTGGAGAGGAGAGGGAAGTATGCAAACAGGCAAATACCACTCTCAACTACAAAGAGTCAGGAAAACCAAAAAAAATCATTTGTCATAAAAGAGACCATACATAAATCCCGCAAGGAGGTAGGGGGAGATGCACATGAGCTAACATAGCATCCCGAAATAAGAGGTTCCAAAAACAGAGGAGCCAAGTGTGGAAGGAAAGGGCCAAAGAGGACAAGCACACCAGCGTGCAGAAGAGGAGGGAATGGGCATCCACCGAAAACACTTCAAGAGAACAACAGATAGCCTCAGAAAAACAATGTATGGAAGAAAGGTAACAACAGAGAGATGTCAGAGTCATGTGACAATGGGAAAATTGTGCTTGTGAAAATGTAGAGAAGTATCAGGGTCCAACCTCTAAATTGGAAGGAATGTATCCAAGTATTGAGTATCCAGAAAAGGATACACCAAACAATGGTAAGTCAAAGCATGAGCCTCTGCCACTTATGGGGGACACAGTATGTTGACCCCCAAATGCAATGACTGGGCAAAATGCTCAGGGTGGACCCCAATGTCAGGTGAGGGAGAAAGGATACAGTATTTTGGTGGTAGGTGCCTCTGTCAAAAGGGAAGGAGATAGATTGTAAGACACGAGTGACAAAGACAAAACATAACATACCTGTGAAACAAACTCCAGTAATGGAGAAAAAGGTTGTGGTGCATCCACAGTTTGAGAATGAGACTGCATGGCAAAGAAAAGGGGGAGGGAAAAGGCTATCCAAATCCTTGTCATCCTGTTCTGATTCCCCCAAGAAGGGGAGAATTAGTTGATGGTCAGGAGACCCATTGGCCTGCATGAAGAAAGACATCTCACATTGCACAAGAGCCAAAATATCCTCAGTCAATAACACTGGACCTGAAGTTATAGTGTTAGGTTGTTGGCCACTAATGTGTCTGAAGCTGTAGTAGAAGTGACATGGAACTGTGAATTCATAAGTCATTCACAGAAATTATTCAAATGAAATTCTTTTGCAAGACACTAGAAACAAATTCCAAGTTGTTTTTCAAATCCAAGCACAAAAATGTAAAAAAATGTATAAAGAAATTTTTGAAGTCTCAGATTTTTTGAAGTTCAAAAACGTAGTACATAAAAAAAAAAAAAAAAATAAAGGTGAGCAAAACGACTGATTATTGTTGTGCCAAACTAGAGAAATGAAGATTGGGTCTGACTGCACATAGAGAGTCACATACACTAGGAGGATGTGTTGCACTCCTATTGGTGGAGGGTTGTTGCATGCTTATTGGCATGCTACAACACAGCCATACCATGTGGAGATTAGTGGGTGTATGAAGACCTGTGGCGAGTGAGAATTTTGCACATATAGAGGGCACTACAAATTGAGAAAAGCTGTTTTGTGAGAGGAGGTAAATTGTTGTATTGGAATAATAAGTTGTCTATGCATTGTCAGTCCACTTTGAGGAATGGTCATTTCAGATCTGTTTATGAAAGTCACAAAATGCTCAGAAATTGCAAAAATTAATACTAATCATTCAAAAAGCCATTCAATAAGAAATGTCAGCTGGGTCAGTTCCACAATGTCAAAAAAAACTTTTGGGTCAGTTCCATGTTAATAAAAAAACATTTAAATATAACTTAAAAGAATGATGAAGCTTTGTTTTGAGTGAGAAGGTAAAAAAAAAAAAAATCAGAAAAAGAATAAGTGTGTAAACCTAATCCATGCAAGAGTGCTTTGAAACTCTTATCTTTCTTATGAAGACATAACATTTGATGGACAACAAGGGTCTCTTGGCTGTCCCATTAATTTCATCAAACACCCATTTGCCTATATTCATCCCTAACACCCCAAGTGCTCATAAAGTTCTCTCTTAAACTTTCCCAATCCTTTTAAAGCCCTACTACTCTTACCAATAAATATTATCTTATATTTCCTTTATAATTTTCGAACATTTGAATCACATCCCAACCCTTCTTTTCTCCAGACAAAAAAATTGAAGGACCAAAATGTGTCCTCACATGACAGTCTTTTCATTCCAGGTGTCATCCTAGTAGCCTTCCTTTCAATTATAAGTATATAAATGTTGGGGGCCCAGTTACTTGTTATGCAGGGGGGGAGGGGGCATCTTTTGTAGTTACACTACTGCATCTTCTGAACCCTTTCCAACTATTTAATGTTCTTCCTAAAGTATACAGCACAAGACTAAAAATATTCTAAATGAGGCCTTACCAGAAAGGCATACAAATGAAATGATAGCCTTCTTCGACTTATATTAAACATTTCTGTAGATAAAACCCAAAATCCTATTTGCTTTTCTATTGGCAGCAACACACTGCCTGGGTGGTGCTTAAGAGACTGATTGACCCAAACACCAAAGTCATTTTCTTCCATAACACTATTGAGTTCATTTCCATCAAAGTGGCAATTACAGTTTAAATTAAAGTAGCCCACATGCCATCTATTTTCCCACTTCACTCTGTAAAATAATAGCATTGTCATTACTATCAACTTAACCAATTTGTTGACCATTCCCTTATCAATATTGCTAATGTACATTAAAAAGTGTTGGGTGCTCCGATATATTCCACTTGCAACTCCAATCCAGTTTGACTGAACTCCATTTATTACAACTCTTTGTTTCCACTCTTCTAATCAACTTTTAATCCATTGGGCTAACTTATCCACCTCATCCAAAGATAATTTTCTTTTCTATTCTTTTATGTGATACTTTATCAAAAGCCTTCCAAAAATCCAAAGTATACTAAATCCACACCTTTACCCTCATCAACATTAAGGGTGACATCTTTGAAAATCAAGAAACAAGATTTTCCCTGTGTGAAATTGTAAACTTTGTTGTGGCTTTGAAAACATCTTTAATCAACCTCTTCAAAACTTTTATCACTAAGAAATAACACTAATTGGCTCATAATTATTTGGACAATGCTTATCATTTTCCTTAAAAATAGGTGTAACATTAGTCAGCTTCCATTCTTCTGGCCATTAATCATAAAACATTTTGGTAAGGGCTTACTTATGCATTTCTTAGCCTATTTTGACTCAGATGGATGCAATCAACCTTGAGGGCAGTTTTGCTGCACCATTGAATTAACAAATTATGGAAAATGAACTAGTAATCATTCTTCCACACATAAAAAACTTCAGATTTGGAATTTATTCAATTTTATTTGTTTTTTGAGCTTAATACAACACTCATATCCCTCTAGAAGGAAAGTAAAAATAGTTTTGAACAAAACAGCACTAATTTAAACCTTGTAATTGCAATACAAGTGTAGTTTTATCATTTTTGAGCCAATCATTATTGACAAGTCTTCATTGTCATGGTGTTATGTAATTGCCTATACCCCAGCTATGAGAAGACATAGGTTAGTTATCTATATAATGAAAAGTCCTTTTGTTCTTTTACATTAGACCTTATCAGCCAAAGTAACTGCTTGAATTGGCAGAGGGTAGAGACTGAAAGAAATGTAAAAAAATAAATATATATATCCATACATAAATATGTAAATGAATACAAAATGGGTTTAAAAGTTATTACATATATTAAATGAAACCTACTGATTAACAAAAAGTCTGCTTGTTTATAATTTTGGTATGGCAAAAAATTTATTTTTACTGTACACTAGTGATCAAAAGCATAGTAGAGTTGTTTTTCAACTTAAAACAATGATAAAATTTAAAATTTTGGAAAAAGAAAAAATATATAGAAAATTTTTACAAGAATGTAAGAAGATGTAAAAATCAGTAATTGAAATCTACAACAATGGTAAATACAATAATGAAATCACTTTGAACTTTCAAAGCTGCAAAGTTATACAAATATCACATAAAAATATTATATTTTGGAGAAGCTAAATAATCTGTACAAAATTAATGTCAAGTTTGAAATTATTTCATTCAATATTTTTTTTTAAAATGCAATCATATAAACCATACAACAGGTATGCCGAATCAACACACCAACACATTTTAAGAGTTAATACCCTTGAAAACATTTTATTTGGCCCAGGAGCCTTATCATTTTTAAAACTTCCCAATTTTTCTTTAACAGTTTCATGGCTGATATTACATTTGTTTACATCTATCATATTTCCACTAATAATTTCTCAGAATCTGGAATACTGTACACACCTTCTATAGTGAAAAACTAAAGTTTAGCAACTCAACCATTTCTGCATCCTTCAAACGCCCAATTCCAATTATAACATTATGATTACCTTTTATATATTTAAAGAAATCCTTACTGTTAGTTTTAACATTTTTAGTTTACCTTTTTCATTTTGTTGATTTTCTATATAAATCCTCTTAGTCTTCTATCTTAGAAGCTAAATTAAATGCTTTAAAATTGTTATATTTATCTCTAATTTTCTCTCTAACACTTCTAGTGAGACACATTTTTTTCCTTCTGTGGAACATACTTATCTTGAATACCTAAGTTATTCTTAAAACCTCCCACATCTGGCTTTTAAACATCTATATACAACAAATCCATACCCTTTACATCATCCAGATAATTACCATCTGTGAGATTATGATTGAATGCCTCTAAGTCAGAATCATGCCTACCTACTGCAATGATACCATTCATACCCCCCTACATTTGGGTAGTTGACCACACCAAAGAATCTGTTTTATGAGATTATAAGTAGGTCACTAGGACTGACTGCTAGGCTTAAGTTAAAATGCAAGAATGAGCAGACTGGCTGGTTAAACTTGGGGATTAGTTTAACAGGAAAAGGAAGATTTTTTGGAATCAATGGTGCTCACTTAAATAGGGCTTGTTTGCAAAGGCTATTAACTGAGCTACAACAACAACAACTTTAAATTAGGACTAGACAGTGGTGAGAGGCAGGACAAATCAAATGAAACAATTTAGAGAAAAGTGTAGTGGAGAAGTAATGTTAACTATAACTCTGAATTTACTAAGTGTATCTTTACAAAAGGAAGCAAGTTTTTATTAAATGGTAAAGGGCTGTTGTACACACACAAAAGTGTGTTATTAAAGTATATATATTCATGATATGTCTGTGAAATGACTACATCAGTCTGACTGACAAGTCAGAATGCAAGATGATGTTCATGGAAAACATAAAAATACTTTTGCCAATTGTATAGTTTGAATATTGCATTTGTGAAACCTCTAGTGTGTCCAAAGTGCATATTTTCAGTATCCCTGTATATAGTTTCTCTATCACAAACTGTTGCTAAATCACCAAATCAGCAATGTAGAGTAATATGAATAGTTGATAATTCAACATCAAATACATAATATCACTACGTTGAATGGCGTACTGTAGAAGGTTGTGGCATGCACACTTTAATCCTCACTTGTACACACAGGTTTAATAAGGATAGAACAGTAAACAAATTGGAAAAAGCAAATTATCATATAAAATGTGATTTACATCCTGTTAAAGTTGAGGATAATGAACCTAACAGCAAGGAAATTGAATCGATTTGGACTTCTGTTAGTGAATATGGAGGAAGAATGCTTTTAGTTGAAATTTATTACAGACCACCTGATCAAATTATAGAAAAAACTACAGAGTGAGCTTACGATTCCAATTGTTAATACTATCATAATTCTGGGGAATTTTAATTTCAGTCATACAACTTGGAAAATGTTAATGTCAAACTGATAGGAAGATAGATATTTAGAAGCAGTTCAAGGTGATTTTCTTTACCAATTTGTCAGGGAATATACAAATAACAAAACTATTTTAGATTTCTTGTTAACTTCTAATGCAGAAATGGTTGAGAGGGTGGAGATTGTGGAGCATCTGGGTAAAAATGATCATTGCTGAAATAGGTTTAATGTTTTACTGCATTTGGTGATTAGAAATAATGAGATTTTAGACACAAGTTTCAAAAAAAGCAAATTTTGAGGGAAAGCAAGAAGAATTATTTGTTGCGAATTGGCGACTAAATTCACTGAAAGCACTAATCAAACATAGAAAATTCTAAAATAAATTTCTAAATATTCCAGATAGACTTGTTTCTCATAGTAAAAACAAAGATGGTTACAAGTAAAAACCAGGTTGGCTCACAAGAGCATAAAGGATAAAATTAAAGAAAATCATTATAAATCTAAGAAGTTTAAACTGATTGCTGTGATGGAGACTGAGTATTAACTATCAAAAGATTTGGTCAAACAGGACATTTGGAAGTTGAAATGGGTATATGACAAAAAAGGTTGGCTGAAGATTTAAAAATTAACAACCACCCTTTTTCAACTTTCTTTTGATCTTTAATACCCATTCTTTAAATCATTAATTAAGGGTGAGTCAAATATTAAGATGGAAGGAGGGGCCTTAAGGAATGATAATTTTAATATTTCCCATAGAATACTAAACATCAGGAACAATGCTAACATCCTCTTTTGTAAAATAATCAGTTAACTTTGTGGAAGATATGATGAGTTAATATATAAGAAAACCTTCAATGTAAAATTTTGTTTTCCTCAGAAAATTCACTTTATCAAACCTATAAAACTATAGCCCCTGAAGTGAAGTTTTTCACTTACTTTTCAGATTCATAACCATCTCTACGTTGTCTTTGCAATTGGATTTCCATGCTTCTGGTTTTCTGAAGATGAAAGTAGGTATATAAAACAAAATTATCATAAGAAAAAGCTTAAAGTTGCAATTAAAAAAATTTTAATTAAGCCATTTATTATGAATAATATCATTATTCAAAGTATGGTTGAAATTACAAGAGAGACAGGAGATAAATTTGATACATTTCATAGTCAAATTAATGAAATAAGGTAAATTTTATATGTCAGTACCAAGATAATCAGGAATAGAAGTAATTGAGTTTTAAAGAGGGTATGGAGAAACGGATCCTTTGGCTATAGCAGTTTTCAGTTTTTTTTTTATCATCACTGAAAGTGATGTTGGTAAAGCTAAAGATGACTTGGTCGGGGAAGATTTTGCTGTGAGCTCTGTTACTTGAACATCTCTTTAAGTGATAGTAAAAAAACTGCATTAGCCAAATAATTTAATTTCTCCATACCTTCTTTAAAACTCAATTATGCCAATGAAATAAAGTTTTTTCATTTGATATAATTTTATTACGATAGTTTCTTCTATTCTTAGTTAAATAACATGAACTAAGTAGGTTAAGAAATGTTTACGATTTCTGTTACATGTCATAGTTAATATAGTGAAATACTAGTTTGTAGCTGAAGATAAATGAGCAGCAAACCAATTTGATTTTTTTTCTGTTCAATCTTTTTTGAAACATTTCTCACTGATGATACTCCAGGGTGGTATAAAAACTAAAAAAATATTTATGAAAATAGCTGATAGAATATTGTAAAAAACTAACAAAAAACATGTAGTTTGTGCCAATAGTAATCAGAAAAGTTTATGGTGGAAATTTCAAATTATTTGTATAAGAAACAGTACTTAAGTTATTATAACTCCAAGAGTTCTTGGTATAAATTAAGATTCTTGGAAGATTATTCGATAAATTCCAAAGAAAAAATTGCCAGAAAGCTAAACAAGTACAATTAGACAGTTTCATAATTTATAGATGTAAAATAAATGTACTGCTGTATTATATAACTTCTATGTTCTACTGTTATGATATTTTTGTTGTTGTTACTATACAGTATTTTTTTGGAAGATAAAATATGTAATACCATTAATATTAGTCACTAGCCTGTTAAACAAGATTAGTCTCACTTAAAACACAACACTGAAGAAAAGAAGACCATCCTGACCAAGAAGATCACCCATAAAGAAACAACTCCAAAATTAACATAATCTTTCAAATTCAAAAAATTTTCCAAGAAAAACTTAAAGGAATTCAAACTACTAACTCACACAACACACCACAAAATCTGGCTAGCCATTGCTAAAGTTAAAAACTATACCAACAAATTATTCTTAATAACTAGGCTGGATCTAAGTTTGTTCAGTTCCTAACACTTAGGATTTCATTTCCAATCTTATCTTTTCCCCAGTCCAACAAATCTCCCATAAGCAGTTTATTCATGCCCCCTGAGAATTTTAAACACCTGAACATAATACTTCAAATGAGGCCTTATCAAAATTTCATACAAAATTATAATTTCTTAACTCCTAAGCTCAAACTTTCTGATCATATCCCCAAACCTTATATTCTTTCTGGACCACTTCTACTTCTAAAGCATTCAGCCAAAACCAGCTTTTCAAAATTGAAACAAATTTTTCACAGATTAACCTACCAACTAAGACTATTAAATTATGGAAATATTTGTGCACAGAATCAGCATTCAATAGGATCAAAATTCTTACTGCTTATAGCTTAAAGTACTCTACATTACTTATCAAAATCCTTCTACCTAGAAATCTGTTTTAAGTGTTCTGATAAGCAACATCATACATTCAAAAAAGAAAATATCCTATGGAAGTATTGTTTATTTACTGAATATTGCGCAAATATTCTCCAGGGTTATTTGTGCTAACCATCCCAACTTTTGAAGTAATAGACTAGAGGGTAGGCTGCTATTCAACACCACCCACCGCCAACTCTTAGGTAACTCTTTTACCAACGAATAGTGGGATTGATCATAACTTTATAACGCCCCCACAGATGAAAAGCATGATCAGAAACGGGATTCATACCCATGACCCGCAGATTGCAACTACAATTCGAGTGCCCTAACCAGCATCAGGCCATTTCGGGCTACTTATCAAAAAGAGTTCAACATAATATTTTTTAAGCTACTATTATATAACTTTCTGACAATGAAGGTTAACCTGGATATAAAAAAATAAAGAATGCAATGCTCCTAAGTTAACTGAACTTGATAATATCGAGTATTAGGCTTAATATATTGCTATATTATTAATAATAATATTACTAGTACTAAGCCTATTTAAGTCTTAAAAATTTGAAATTGTTCAACACAAAAGATAAATAATACTCTTTATTAATGGTCATAATAAATCATACGTCACCATCTGATTATACTAAAATTGAGTGTTAAATAAATGTATAAAAATTAATAAATATTTATAAACAATAAGCATCTACCGTTCCGATGTCGTCGGCAAAGGAGACGCCATAAGAACGTTTTTATTTTTCTTTTCGTAGTTCAATAATGTGAACGTGCGCCAGACAACTAGAGGGTTGTTATAATTACTCCTATTTTTAAAGGGCGTGATAAGGGTTGTTTAAAGGTAACTTGTTCTAGTTCTGTAGTGGAAAAAATTATCGTTAGTCTGATGAGCAAATATTTATAAAACCATTTAGTGAAATATGATGTAATTATAAAAGAAGGCTAACATCGAGTCCTCCCGGTGGGACAGCCGCAAGTTTCCAGGCTTGTATTGTTTAAATCCAGAGTACGATTCCCTGCGGTAAACAGAGCACAGATTGCTCATTGGGTTGCTTTTCGCTAATAACAACAGCTAACATGGATTTACCATAGGGGAATTTTGACGTACTAATATGTTTTCGCCCCGCCCCACTCCCATATCTCAGCAGTAAGTGGGATGAGCTAAAATTGAGCACACATAACCCATAGTGTAGCTTCGTGCTTAACAATAAACAAACAAAACTTTATTTTATTCAAGAATATTAGGTTATCTGGACGATGTGGGTTTGGTGTACTTAAATTTTCAAAACACTTTTAAAAAGGTGCTACACGAAAGGTTAGTTAGAAAATCACAGGGGAATGGGGAAATAATAGATAACTAATTTGTAAAGAAGCTGAATAGAAGAAAATAACGGAGTGAAGTTGATGGGGTCTACTTCACAAACTGGACCCTTGTTACTGTTACGTCTCTGTGTTCGTTTGTTAATTTTCCGTAGAAATTCTTCCCGAGGAACTTCAGCGATACAAGTCCTTTCTTAAATAAAACTATTTCATTCTTTCTCAATTCAACTTTGCAATACACTTTAATTTCCACAGTCACTTTAAACACACGCTATAATTCACAATGATTTACGCACTTACTTACGGTCACTACCGCGCTTGACTAAATTGTCCGTCTCTATTTCTGCCTGCTGTTCAATTCCGATTAATTAATCTCACGTTAACCGGCGCACTTATATACAGGAATAGAGGGCGCCTAGCACATACTGGATTATTCTGATGTTCCCCGATCTGTCGAGAATATCATGACGTGTTACCAGAGGCACGTGACTACCGCTGTCGTAACATCACTAATGGGGTGCCTCAGGGGGTAAAATACTTGCATGTGCCTTTATTTTTTCTTATTTACATGAATGTTATTAAAACATAATTAATAAATCTAGTAATTCGCTAATGACAAACTCTTGTGATTTTCTTGGCAGATTTAAGATGCTGAGGTATTAACAAAATTTCTTGAATTAGTTGGTAAGTTGAACAGATATTTGGTAGTGACCTTTAATTATAGTAAGTGCAACGTAATGCATATGGGTTATCATAATTTGGATGAAGCATTTAATAAAGGTGGGAAAACACTCATTAACATGACTGAAGAAAAGGATTTTAAGCATAATGATGGATAAGTCAAATAAACCATGGAAGAAATGCTCTGTTTCTAATAGTAAAGCTTATAGAATTTTAATGCTGTCTGTTTGTTTCAGCTCAAAGTCACACAATGGGCTATCAGTACTCTGTTCACTATGGTAACTCGAGCCCTGGATTTTAGCATTGTAAGTCTATAATGTATGGTATAGGCCTGTACTGCAGTATCATTGTCTAAGAAAGGATATTGGCTTATTTGAACTGGTTAAAAAGATGGCTACTAAGATGATTCTGGGGTTGGAAGGATTATTTTATAGGGTTAAGATCTTTTAACTTATTTTGTCTTGAGAGAGGAAGAAAAAAAGATAATTAAAGAGTTGATCTCACTGAAGTTTCAAGATTATCTATTGGATCCATGGGATAAAGGTCTCTGATTTTTGTGCTATATAAGGAAGGTAATAGGACGAGAAGGTATAAATTTAGGATTTGGAAAAAGAGACTAAGCTCTATGGCAGTTTTATTTTTTAACATTGTGATTTACTTATAGGGTGGATTGCTGTCAGAAGCAATGGAAGCCGATATTCTAGAAAAGCTTAAGTAGGGAATCGACAATTTTCTAGAAGATAAAGTGTGGGCTTACATTTTTACTTTTCTCAAGGATTGGTGTACAAGGAGAGCCTTCAAGGACCAAATGGTCCCTTTTCCATATGTTATGTTGTCATCATTTCAAGCACTTTGAAGCCAAGTGATCCTGTCCAAGTCAATGTTATGTTTACTGTAGTTAACAGATGATTTAAAATTGCATACTACAAACATATATAATTGTTTATGAGCAATAAGGTAATTTTACTATAAGATATGCTCGAAAAATTTTTGTTTTAGAATTTTGCGCAAAATTTTGGTCGGGTTGTTGTTAAGCGCAAAACTACACAATGGGATATTTGATCCTTGACCTTCTTTTGGAAAACCTTTGATACACCTGTTGCTTTATCTACTTAAATCTCTCAGTTTCCCTTCTGAACTCCAAGGAATTAATAGCTGCACGATTCTGGTCAATTCCAATATTTCCCATAGGATGCTCAGGGTAAGGAATATCGCTAATAATCTCTGTTTTAAAAACATAAGAGAAGAAAACCTATAAAAGCTCAGTCATACCACTGTCCTCAACAATAACCTTGACATCAGACAAAATTAAAAAATCATACAAATTGAAATCAACAATTAACAGCTTCATCTGTTATTGGTACAAAAGATGTCAGATGCTTCTTAAATGCTGGTGTATATATATATATAAGTAAGAAATCTTACAACAGGAAGATAATCAATCACTGTTGCCACTGGTATTAGGTTTATCTACAAAATCAAAGGTTTTGGATAGAACTCAGCTTAATATGTAAGCTTCTCTTTATCCAGCAACATTCGGTAACAAGTGAAAATTCTTGAATTTATCAATGCTTCATCTTATGGCTTCTTCAAAGACGAAGACATCCTGTTCAACACAAGCCCAGTCAGTAGGGTGTCTACTTCTTCAGAAAGTCGTAAGGTGAAACGTTTAGTAATTAAAGAATTTTCAGTGAATACTGAATGTTCCCTTCATAAAACATGTTTTAAATTCAATGTGCACTATGTTAACTGAATTATTCAGGATCCAGCAACATTACCAAGAGTAGTTATCCCTGCACTTGCCAATCACGCTACCAGAGTGTGTCACATGTGTGTCGACCTCAGATAATGGAGAGACAATGATGTAACCAGAAACGATGACATCGTAGTTCCACAAGGTGTCACCAGAGGGCGTTGTTACTATGAGTTGATGTCACCAGACATGATGACGTGGAACAGAGGGCGCTTTGCTTGACCACTGTGATGCCAGAAACAATGACATCCTTGACATGGATCAATGTCTCTCAACATGTAATCAGTGGCTAGATTTAATTATGATCTACTAGCAACACCGTCACTATATGTATACAACACTTCAATAATTCATTAGTTTTATTCTTAATCATACTTTTACCTTTCCTGACCTTATCGTCCTAAAAAGGACAACTTATTTAACATCCACTCTTACGACAATCTTGCTGTTTCACTAGTTTGTCTTTATCATTATAACTATGATCTTGACCAAAATATTTTATTTTACACATGTTTCTTTATAGATTTAATAAACATAAGTTTTACAAGTAAGGATAGGGTTGAACAGGATTGCATACAGATTTCAACTTACATATGATTGCATACATTTTACAAAGATGTTTCTATACTTCTGTAGTACAGCATGCAGGTTTCAACACGTCTCATCTTATTTTTCATTTACTTGTGTTTCTATAGCACGATAGTGTTACTGATACATTTAATTTACTGCTGAACTTTTTTAACCTTGCCTAATGTTTTTATAAATATTGAACAAGATAGCCAATCACGTTTGTATGATTTAGTAAACATTTATCTTACAGATTATAGATTTTAGTTTCTATATTTGAGCATACTTTTACATTTTTCTGACCTTTTATATGTAAATTACTTATCTTAGTCAAAAAGATGCTTATCTAACATGCAAATATACGATAATCTTATTGTTTCACTAGTTTCATTTTACGTTATCCAGATAACCATGGTTTTGACAAAATATTTCAATGTATTGTTTCTTACGATAAAGAACAAGAAAAAACACAATCGATTTCGGTTTAACATACTGATTATAGTTTTAGTTTCTATGCTTAAGCATACTTTTTTTTACAGTTATTGTCCTGAAAAGGACGCTTATTTAAATATGCACTTTCACAAGTTTCTCTTTATCCATATAACTATGTTCTTGAAAAAATATGTCATTCCACTTATGCATTTTACTTAAGGCAGACAATGTCCTGTAGGACACCTCCTGTTTCACTTTCTCAAGTCAATGAGACAACTACTAAAACATACATATTATCCATTACTTGAATGAGGCAGGTATTATAACCAATAATTTACTTTAAATACTTTACAGTCCTGAATAGGACGCTTATTTTGCTACGACTAAATATAATAAATGAAAGACTTACTGTTTACCCATACATTTTTTATAGAATATTCATTTGACGACTAAAATTTCTTCTTCAATAGACTTTGAGACAGTCTGACATCAAATACACTGTTTGTTAGGAGGTCGTCACGTGGTCATTCATACAAACAGTGTGGTCAGCAACGTCAAGACTACTGCTAAGCTCGATAAACTTTGACTGTTAGGAAATACAAAAGTCATAACATAGTTACACACAAATACTGACAGTGTTACTAAGAGTAGCGTTTCTATAAATGGAGGATGATGAGCTCATTGTCTCAACGTGCTGATAATGTCTAGATTTAATTACATATAAACATATTATTGATTTAGCATAATAAAGGTTATAGACACAATATTTCTTTTTAACACATTATTAATTTTCTCGCAATAAAGATTTTGCAAACT